TTGAGAATCCCTGTCAGGTTTTCATTGCTGTCTGTGTCCGTGCTGGGAGATCCAACCTCTCTACTTGTCCTGGTGACCATAGAATGATGGGAAATCCAAAATGTTTCAGTTGTCACCAAAGCAGACACAGAGGGAGTATCTTCCAGTAATACACCTGTGCCAGTGTGAAGATGTTCTCTTGCTTCCTGTTGTATTTCTGAGACAGGAAGTAAAAGGGAAATCTCCCTAATGGTACGCGGACAGGAAAAAAAAATATTGACAGGGTTATTTTTTTCCCCCTCTTTTCCATAACTGATCTGTATAGAAACCGATTGCTTAAAAAACGTTTTGGCTTTAAATATACTTTAGCTGCCATGGCTAAATTGCAGGAAATGTCAATGAACATTGTCAGGAAACTTCAGCTGAAATTTTTTTATTACAATTTAAACAAAAAAAACATGAATTTGGTTTGAAAAAGAATACATAAAAAGAAAACAAAAAAAACACAAAAACTTTGATTATTGCTCTTCTCAAAACTCTGATAAGCCTGCATCAAAGTCTTTATGAAAAAAAAATACATGCTATGAGAAAACAAAATAAACATGCATAGTATTAATCATTGAGAAACAAAAGACCTGTGGTAGAAGCCTCAATCATTGCTCTGCAATACAACATGACTTCTCTTTGCAGTGAAAGGGTCAACACAGAAAGTATGTTACTATAATTGCTTTTTATATATTATACTACAGAATATAATATTGTGAAATAGAGCTGAAAGTGCACATCATTACTACACTCAATATTAAAACTAAAGCACAAAACATTCTTTTTTAAATTTATTTTTTTTACTAAACCTTTGCTCTAATTGGAACCTTTTGTGCTTTTTTTTTTTTTAAACCACCCCATAATGAATTAAAGAGACAATAAACTCAGGAGTTAAATCTTAAAAATGCTTTAATATACCTTAACTTTTAACTAAAATGTATTTTGTTTGTGTATCACTCAGCTGTAGATCCTCAAATCATCTCCGAATAGGTGCTGACACTGTCCTTCCTTCTGGAGGGTGGCTACTTTTGTTCCCCATGGTCCGTGTGTGTTGTAAAGTAGCTACCGCTCTAAGCGCACTCCTGTGATGGACTACAATCTCATGTTTAGTTTACTACCTTTTATTGAGATTACAATCTTTCACAGGAGTTTGGAGCGGTGACTACTTTAGAACACACACAGGGACTATGGGGAACAAAAGTAACCACCCTCCAGAAGGAAGGGCAGTGTCATCATGAATTCAAAGATGATTTGAGGATCTACAGCTGAGTGATACACAAATAAGATACATTTTTGTTTATAGTTATGTTACTTGAATCCATTTTTAAGATTTAATGCCTGAGTTTTAGTGTCACTTTAAGCACATACAGATAAAGCGGATACAATGTAAAACTACTAAAATAGCATTTATGTGCAGATCTTGAACAACTTCAACCACACAAGCATATCCATAGAGTTTTTTTTTTATCAGTACTGCCAATATGAATTTTTTTTCCCCAAAACATAACACCATGGGGTTAATTTAGTAAAGGAAAACAGGCTGTTCACTTTGCAAGGGAAATATCTCAGCTCAGTGAATGTGGTGAAAATTCACTTAGCAAAGAATTTCCAATAAGAAGAGAAAAAAAAAAGGATTTTTGCTTGCATATGAAAGGATGATGGAAATAACCAGAGCTTCGCCTCAGTCACTTAAGCTGGCCATACTCAGTTAAAGATTTGTTTCATTAGGTCCATGGGACGAAAAAGATCAACCGTTTTGTCTTGACTTGTATTGTAACTGTAATATCCTCCTTATATTGTAAAGCACTGCACAACCTGTAGGCGTTATATAAATCCTGTGTGATAATAACAGATTCCTCCATCCACAGCAAACAGCACGGATGGACCAATCTCCCACTATTGTATTTTGAAAGTGGGACCCGTGGGTGACCCTGCCGGGACCACCCGGGTCTGGTTAGAAAATTGTTAGCAGGGTGCCAGCTGGTTGACTGATTGGCTGCAGTCACTGTTCAGTTGAGAATTTTCTGTCTGGCTCCTTCCATCTTCTGATCAAAGGATGTTGGGCTAAAGGCTGCTGACAGGGCCACCCACTGAGCGAATTTCAGCTGGTTCATCGAGAACTGGCCTTAAATCGCTCAGTATATGGCTAGCTTAAGCTAAGGGAAAATTCTATTGAAAAGTGAACAACCTATTTGCCTCTATAAAATCAGCCCCTATATGTGCTACTAACATGCTCATAAGATAGGCCTCTGCTGCTCAGCACGCTAAACTGTTGTAAGAGTAAGAATTGCCTTTAGCACTGGCCACCAGTTTTGCAACTCACCTTACTAAAGGCTTAGTTGCACGAGTGATTTAAATCTTGTGCTATTGAGAAATGTAACCACCTTCAGGCAGTCACTGTATTTGGCTAGAGCTACATGGCAGATTTTCAATATTTCACAATAGCTAGGAGTAGCAACTGATCGCTAAAAAGATGGAACAAATGGCTACACATGATTGGAGCACTGTGTGATCGTGTGAGATTATTCTCTACTATGTGCTGCTTGAGTAGTTTAGACCATAGGGAGTTGTATATTCCATCTGATCTGTGTATCCATCAACTGAAACTGCTAACAATAAATCATTATCAATCTTATTAGGGCCGGTGTCCAAAGCTTTAATTTGGAACAGGTCAAATGCAGGTCAGAGGGCTGTCAATTACAGAGTCAATGACACAGCCCAAAGCCTGTTGAACACTTCATGATTGAACTAGCAAAAATCTTCAGTGTAGCTCTAGCTTTAATATGTTTTACCTCTTGGGCTGCAGGACCCACAAGGGTTTCTAATACAATTGTGCAATTTGGTAATGACTATCAAGGATTAAGAAAGACAGATAAACAGTCATACACTACAAAACCAGCCATAGACGGCTAGGACGCTATACAGAAACCCAGACTATGCCTGTGCAAAACGGTCAATAATCTAAGGTCACTAAAATTAGACAAAGTTAGGCTGATGTCAGTTGGGTGACACCAGTGATCCTGCTGCTGGCAATCTATCTAAATCACCAGCGCCAAGATCTCAAAGAGGCTGCCTGTTTGTCCCCTGTGCTATTGCTCCCATTGTAAGTTGATTGAGATTCAGCAGAGTTTCTTGCAACATCTGGCTGGATCTAGTCACAGATGGAGCAAATCCATAAGGACAGAGAGGCATCCTCTTTAGCAATCCTGCCACTGGTAATTTGTCAACAGAGGCAGAATTACCCATCTGATATCAGTCTATATAGTCCACACTGAAACACTGTGTTCTACGTTCTAATTGTATGAGCAAACATCCTGATCAGATAAGAACACTTGCTCATCATTACAGGTGGATGAGCGGTGAATGGGCTGTACTTTGTAGCCATACACATAGCAAAGTGAATAAATCTTCAGCAGTGTAAAGCTGGCCACACAATGCTTAAATGTTTCCTGCTGATTTGGCTGACATTTGATCCATGGGTGGCCCTGCCAGCACCACCCGGATCTGGTTGGAAAATTGTTAGCAGGGTGCCAGCTGGTTGGCTACAATAGCCAGCAGGGCAGATTCCTCCATCCACACTGTTTTGCATGGATGGGGGAATTAAGTATTTTTTCTCATTTACCCCTGTGGGGCTGAATGAGAAAAATCATGCAGTATATGGGTAGCTTAGGTTTCAGCTTTACAGAATAATGACCTTTTACAGCAAGCTGACAAGTAGCACCTGCACCAGTAACATGCTGCAATATAACTAGCATGAAAATGTAATGCTAAACTAAATGCTCCATCATTTCGCCTGCTAATCATAATTACACAGTATTTCCATGGTATCATAAATATCATCAACATAAGCTCAGTAAATACACATAACATGTTTCTATGCTTCCAAAATACTAACAAAATAAAACATTTTGGTATCTGCCATGTCTTCCTAAAGACAATTTATTTAGGTTTATGTGTGTAAATCTGAAGAAATAGCCTAAATGAAATACTTTTTTTAAAAATGATCACTAACAAACACGACCAAGCTATAGTGATGTCAGCTGGCTTTTCAGTGCTTCAAAAGTCAGTGCTTTTGAATGTTAGACTGATTTCTAGAGCTGCTTTAGGGACGTGTAGCACCACTGACAAAGGAAGTGATACCAGAGGAGGAATGAAACTGGATGTGAGCACGCTTGGCTCCTGCCCTCTGCAAACGTTGTGTTGCTGGAACTATCATATTACTAACAAGCAATCTGTGCTTGTTCGTATTGAGCAGTGGTATTACAGAGGTCTTTGTTCTATAGGTTACTGTGCAGAAGACATGGATCTGCATAGAGAAAAAAAAAAAAAAAAGTTCTTACTTAACTAGTACAATTTAGAAATGTAATTTTCGAGTACGATGTGCATATTTTGGTTACAATTGGAAGAGCTTTAGATCTCCAAAAGATATTTTGCTTTAGACACAATCTATACCAAGTCTGCAACCAAATCCTTTTTTTTTTTTAAAGTCAGGGAAACAGAAATAAAAACTTGCCAGAAGTACTGACTGGCATATGAGGTATAAGTTGCTTCTTTTGGGAACTTGTTTCTTCTTGCTACCTAAGGATTTAACAGTTTGACATGTTTAAACAACATTTTTTTGGTAGAATGCAAGTTCACTTCCTTTAATTGCTTTAAATGTGTCAGAATATTTTATTTCCTAAAGTAGCATTGGTGCTACTATTTCTGTAAGCAGAGTTATTGTTGTATGAACCATCTTTTGCCTTGTCAGTGTAGATGGGAACATTTTATACTGTACATGAGACTGAACGTGTCATATCATGACAGCGAAGCTCGTCACTTCATGTAGGTATTTTCAGTGACTCGTGGCATCTCGCTCTACAGTGTTATCTGGTTCCTTAGTGAGCTGCCCGACTGTTTTCCTAACTGTGAAATGTGACATGAATATTTTTTTTATCACTACAAACTGAAGCTTAAGAAACCATTTTTTTCGCTTCAGATAGAAAAAACTAATATTACATTCTCACTGAGAAATAACAGCATCATTTATGGCATAATATAAAACACAATTTGCTATTAACCTCAGGAGCAATAAAATAGGAGATACACAGAAAAATACAACTATTATAATGGATACATGAAAATACTGTGCAATGTCTAAAAGCCTGTTTACAGATTTGCTATTTAGCTGGGCAATCTACATTGTATTGCTTCTTCATGGGGTTATGCAGATCCATGACAAAAGGAGGTTCACCCACGAGCTGGAAGATGAAAGTCTAAAGGTCACTATTACAGTCACGGCACAGAACGTCATTATTGTCTGGAATAAAGCCTTTCCCCACTAACGAACATGAGCAACGGGAGCAGGTAAAGCAGCTATGATGCCAGTGACGGTCTTCGAAGGAGACATACTTTCCTCCTCCAAAACCTGAAAGAAAATGGTAATACATATTATCATAATTTTTATTAGTATTAGGTCTGTCAGTAAACAAGTACTTTTTACATATGTATTTACATATTTTACATATGTGCTTATCTATGTATATTAGTTTCCATGAAAGAACCTTTTGGCAAAAAAATTATTTATGATAACCGTGTTTATTAGGACATCACTGAGGTGTAAAATACCTGTGATAGGTTTAATGCAGCCAAAACACTTTTTGGCATATAGATTTCCAAAGCACTTGATGCAGTATGGCTTTTCATCCTGAGAGGTGAACTGTGTCCCAGCTAGCTGGGCCTTGCATCCTGTACAGACAAAACATTCTTTGTGCCATGGCTCATCCCGGTAAGTCACTCCACCTTTGGTTAGAATCTGCAAGAAATAAATGAAGGGATGTTAGGAGGGGCTGTGAGGGGTTTGTGTTAACCCTGCCTATACTGTGCTGGCTGATTTCATTATAATTTGTAAAGTAGATTTGAACACTGCCTGCTCTAACAAAGGGTTAAAGGATTACAACCCTGGCTTCTGCATTGTATATAAATGAGAAAAACATATTCCACACAGTCCTATCCTCAGTCTTTCTATAAGGACAAATCACTGTGAAGGTGCTCAAAAAAACAAACAAACTTGGATTCAGCCATTCTGCCTGCTGCAACAAAACATCTAAAAAAAAGGTAAGAATTTTTTTATTTTTGTTGGTATGCTGTGTGAATCGGAATACATAACATAGAGAGGTTTCTCAAATTCGCCAGCTAAAGTGGAAATATACGTACTTTAAAGTGATTTAGATGGCTTTTCATTGGCATGCAGCCCTCAGCTCATTAACATCCTGAAGATAATGAAGGGCTGATAAAGTGATATCCATTATTGAACATTGGTTGTGCTATAACAGACTGGTTGTCAGGTAATGTATTACCCAGGGCTACATTTTTCACATGACGCTAATGCATAGCATCACAATTTGCTTTGACTTTTTTTGCACTATGTTTGCCTTCTCTGGCCCCTTTTGGATAAATCAATAAATAAGAAGTGTGGATAGCTTAAGTAACCTGCAACTACTACCTTTCTCTCAAACCCTAAATCTATTTTTCAGTATGCATGGCATCATGCCTCACAGCAAATAGTTTTTTGGAAAACATTTTTGGGAACCTATTGCAAGGTTTTCTACCTGGGTAACCCTGTCAGTTTGCGCACTTCTAGTTTTAAGCTAACACCCGTGAGTCACTGCCTTGCGATTAGCAACGTTGTCAACCTGCTGTGTGTACTTCTTCATTGACCATTGAGCTGCCTATCTGATAGACCTGAAAGGCAACCCAAAAATTATCTAAAGGGGTGTGCACGGTGGACTGATGTCGCTGCTAATTGCAAAGCATTGGCTTGGCGCTGTCAGCCTGCTACCAGAGGTGTGATGTTACTGGAATTATCTCTAAGAAATTGGAACAATTTTAGAACATTGAATGGCTAGATGAATCACAAACTCAGACACTCCTAAGCCTATTCCATCTACCTTCTTGCAATGTGTGCATCGTGGTGCCAACTTGCTCTCGTAGCATGAGATGCAGTAATAGGTCTGGTTTTCTGGTATAAAAGAACGGGATCCAATGGGCTGCTTGCAACTATTGCAGATGAAGCAGTGCTCATGCCAGGTCTGTCCGTTGTATTCTAATTTGCGAGAGCCTGCAAGAATAAGACAAAGGGTTAAATGTTACTCTAGTAATTTTGAAAACTTAGTGCCATTTGCTAAATTGAAGTTCTGAAAAGCTGTGATATTTTTGTACAAACAAGTCAGTTTCCAAACAGTTTACCATTGCAGGGTAAGGGTAGAGAAGTTGACAATTAGGTCATAAGCACAGTTTACTGTGCTTTTTTTTTTATCCTACATTCTTTTTTTGGCTTTGCACTAAATTTACCCAAACAACATATGCTTACAATTAATCTGTCTATTTTGTAAAAAAGTTATGTTACCCAAAGTTTACCCAAAGCTGAACTTTGGGTAAAAAACCCTTTACTGTTAGTTTCGCCTAGGGGATAATGAATTAGGTGATACCTTTTTTCTACCTCACATTGCGGAGCATCGGACAGTGGAGGAGAGCACTGGCATATTCATCATTCCCTAGGCAAACTCCGCACTGCAAGGGTAAAGGTTTCTCTTCTCTGGAGTTCAGCTTTAATACCTTTTTTAAAAGCATGTCCTTTTTTTATGTATTTTTCACTTTATTAGTCCTTGGATGTGGCGGCTGTATTTCCTGGGCAAAATTATACCAATCACAAAAAGAAAATTAGTAACAGATTTAAAAAATGTGGTGCAACTTTACTTCCTAGAACAGGGGTGGGCAAATCTGGCCCTCCAGTGGAACTACAAGTCCCATAAGACATTGCAAGACTGAAAGTTACAGGCATGACTCAGAGGCAGAGCCATGTTGGGATTTGTAGTTAAAGCACAGCTGGAGGGCCCGAATTGCCCACCCTGGCCTAGACATAAAACCAGCTCCAACTCTGTGCAATTGCTTTATTTAGAAGTTTTTATTTTAATGCCATCTTTCTTTTAACTAGGGAAACTGCTGCCGCCACTTTGTGACATGGCAAGACGTCTATTGATTTGTACGTACCTCTTTGTGAATGATACAAACAGGAATAACATGGCCAAGTAGCATGATAATGGACCTTTAGAACTCCAGCATCACCCCCGTTTATTACTGATATCCAAGGCCAGGTTTACTAATATGTAAAGTGAGGTGAAGTGAACCTGGGCTGACTTCAAACATCCAATCGTATGTATAGGAATGAGAAAAACAGTGCTCCTTCTTCATACAATTGGATGTTTGAAGTGGACGCTGGTTTTATTCACCTTTCTTTACACAACAGCCAGGGCAATTTTTCCATCCCTGAAACCTGTAGACACACAGCCTTCGGTGTCCACAGCAACACCCCTCTGCTAAGATCACATCATCTTTTACAAAGAATGTTTTCTTGTGTTACTTATCATTACCTTGCTTACTATATTGCAATAATGTATTAATGTATTTACATTAAATAGCTACTTGTTCTACTGGAGGTGGAACAAAATGTGTGGCAAAGGCCCCATGCACACAGACAGCTTGTGTTAAACACAGAAGTTATTATCTGGGAAGTAATAAACAACTTTCAGAAGCGGTCCCAGGACACCCAAAATTCTTGTTTGTTTAAATGCAGCTAGACTGAATGCACCTAGATGCTGATAAAGCATTGCATGCTTTGAGGTGCATTTAGAAATGAGCTCCAAACACATCTGGAACCATGTATTTTAATTCCCGTGTGCATGGGACCTAATATTTATTTAGGCAAAAGCAGCCCCTTTGTAGGCTATTTGTAAAACCAGTGCTATCTACAGCATATCAGGCCCTGAGTTTTGAAGTATGGATAATGCTACATTGGGCAATTAATCCCCCCCCCCCAAAAAAAAAGCAGCACAGGGCCCATTAAAAAAACCCAAAAGCAGCAAACTAACAAACAATGGCATAGAGATATTTTTTCTCTTCTACTCCACCTTCTAAGTTATGATGACATCATCCACCTTAATGCACATCATTAGTTTACTGGAACATCAATTATGCATTTACAAGTTACAGGGTGACATATTGCCAAAATTGTTATCTGACATTTTCTTTACTACAGTGTCCCTCCCCACATAACCTCTATAAAATAAGCCTGCTTGTCTTCGATCTAATATTGGATAGAGTCTCCCTTCATTATTCCTTGTTTCCCATTCCAGCTTTGACTTCCATATTCTGTGAACTCTGAAGTCCGGTGAACAAAATTATCTGTTTTCTAGGAAAAGTCCACAAGAGCTTAGGGAATTTTAAATATTTATAGCTTGGAGAATCCTTTAATCCTGCTACTCCTGTCCCAAGTAGACTTTTAACTAAAACAAAATCAGCCTCAGAGCCAAGACAGAAACAGAATATTGCTTCAGCTAAACCCACAGAGGACTTGCATGTGCCCTGATATGAACCAGGTTACTATGCAGAATGGGACTTAATTAACTGACAACATAACCCATCGTCACCTTACTCGTAAACTAACATCTCAAGATACAGAATAAAAGCTAAACAATCATATACAGGACTAGCACACTATATACATCATGGATCACTGCATATTTCTACAGTCTTGAACTTTATGAATAAATAACTGTGTGCATTCTCATCTTGGAAATAAGCCTAGAGAAAGCATGGGTCAACCCAAGTTGCAGTTGTTTAACGTCCTTGCAACTTGGCCCTACATGGCTAGATCTTTACTTTGATACAACAATAATCCAGTATTTGACTGTCCTCCAAAAAGGTTGTCAAGCAATATTTTTATTGATATAGCACAGCACACAGTCATATTTCGCAATGTGTTTTAGAACTATTTATATCAGTGTTTGCGCTCGGTGGAAATAACCATTTATTGTTCCTTTCACACTCAAAAGCTGTTCATGAAAGGCCAGATCTTCAGCCAGGAGTATGATTTGCCCATCCTTGCAATGTGTTATTTTTCTTTTAGTAAAAAGGTACAATCCCATTGTTGGAGGCAGAGATCCAACATTACTCTGGAAGACTTCAGTGATTAACTCTTTAAGGGGCAGAGATACTGCCTTTACTATCCGTGTTGTACACCAAGACCAAACAGACACGAGAGACATAAGAGTTGTGAAGGGGAACCATGTGAGGAGTCAGTTGGTCTGCAAAGAAAGGAACCTCCCTTTCTTTGTTGCTCACCTGGGTCTTTCCCTCTGTAAAGAGAATATACACTTTAAGCTGGGTATACACAGTTCTGTTTTTTTCATTAAACCTGTCGGCTGAACGCTCGAAATAAGAGGTGTAGCCTACTTAACCAACCATACACACATATACAAGGACTAATCTGGATAAAAACAAAATATGCCATATAGACAGTGATATATTCCTACCACCTCAAAGCTTCTGTGACAGTTTCCTGGGCAGACACATTTAAAATTGTAACACTTTTACTGCAAATGCCTATACTGTGAACGCATCCTTTCAATGACTCATATGTCTGCTCATTAAAAGAACGATTTCAGACGCCTCAAGCTTTAAGCAGTAAATGTTTTCCAACATCCTTGAAGAAGACTTTTTCTCAACATTGTTAGGGGTTTTGTAATTTTCACAAGTGCTAGTGTTTAAATCAGTCACCACCCATACAATTAATGCTCAAACCTCCATTGTGTTGGCTGAAAAAGTGGCCTGACTATGGCCGGCTTTACTCGGAGCAGACATCTATCATTATGTAAAACACATACATTTGAAGTGTACCTGTATCTTAATTTTAGGTGATAACAGCAGCAGGCAAGCATACTAGTGAGGTCAGTGACTCTTGCAATTTGCTCTACGTGATCTTTTTGGGTGGTTCCTTTATTTCTCAACTAAGGTTGAAAGCATACACGCAAAAGAAAAGAAAGATTGGACTTTGTACATATTTGATTCATTAGACTATTTGATTAAATAGACTGTGGAATCTTTTGAAGATATTTGAAAGACTTAAGAAGTTTGTTTATATTGAATGTTCCATTTATAGTGTAAATGTAAGGTTTCTTTCAGCACCACTATCTTTTTTTTGTGATTTCTGTTTGCCATTAGAATCTGGTAAGATGCTCTATGTGATTTTTGTTGGTGGGGGGGAGGCATATTGACAACAGAGGAAGAAGATTGTACATATTTAATTGATCAGACTAAATCAGCCATAACATGACCATCTGCCAAATATTAACTATGCCCCCCTTTGCCACCAAAACAGCCCTAACCAGCCGAGACAGGGACTACACTAGACCTCTAAAGGTATGCTGTGATATCTGGCACCAAGCCAACTGTAGTAGATCCTTTAAGTTCTATAAGTTGCGAGGTGGGGCCTCCATGGATCAGACTTATTTTTCCAGCTCATCCCACAGAAGCTCGATTGGATTGAGGCCTACTCAGGCAAATGGGGTTCACACTTAGCCCAGACTCATCTCTATTCAGCAACTGTATTGGTGACGACTTTGTACTGGAGGTCTGCACACCTACTGTGGCCATAATAAGGGTGTTCCAACTCTCTTACTTGGACTTGTTTTTTATTATATTCTGGATTATGCAACAGAAGGTCCTAGAACCTGCAAAGCTGAGAACACCTAACACTTCCTGGAGTTTTGGTAATTATAGCAATAAGCTCTTGCTGTATCTAAGACATGCAAGAGGCCAGGCACTGACCCAGCACACCAGGTTACACTTGTGATTAAATACCACCTTTGGGTAGACTGACCATTTTAATATAAGTCAACACACAAGGTCTCAAATAAGTGGTCTACATACAGTATATATGCGAGTGTAAGTTTCAGTTTGTTTTTTACTGCCTCTATGTTTTTAGTATTTAAGCATAAGCTGCACCAAAATGCATAAAGCTCAAATAGCTGACTGACACATGTAAAAAGAGCTCTATAGAAACAAAAAATGTATTGTGTAAAGAACTGATCCTGTCATTCCACCGTGTAGTGGAGATAGAGACAGACACGTTTGAAGTCCATCTTTTTGACCACCATGGAAAGAAAATCTGAAAAAACTAAAAGCTAATTAAAACTATTACAATTTTGAACTTGTAAGCTGCAACATATATGTATATATTTTTGGGGATTTTGGTTTTAGGTACAAGTTAAAAGTAGTAAAATAATGTTTACTACATACCATGTAACTGTGTAGTAAATAAAAGTAGACCGTGTTGAAAAATATTCTGCTGTTAATATTGAAAGAGATCCATGGATAGCCTTACTACACTATAAACCCCCCTCGCTTACTAACTTACAACATAAATTAGTAATGTACGTTATGTTGGCGGCCAAACAGACCATTGCCCATGCTTGGAAGAAACCGTTTGTACTTTTTAAAAAAAGGAGGTCAAAAGAAGGCTGGACTTTTTTCTCAATGAAAAGTTGACTAGTATTTTACTAGACTCAAATAGGAAATTTGTGAAAACTTGGCAACCTTGGATCGCTTACGCTCATCCATCACTTTCTATGGAAAACGTGACTTCCTTGTATTAGATATAATCTAAAATTTCCGTGTCTTTTTTCCCTTTTTTTTGTTTTGTTGTTGTTTGGTCTGTTATGTTGTATGAACGATTATGCTGGGTTCTTTTGAGTGAAGGTATTGTGGGGAGGGTCGCGTGAGGAGAAATTGATAATGTTTTCTTCTATAGACTATTGTTGTCATGTTTTTTTTTTCTTTTCTTTTTCTTTGTATATAAATGCCTTGTGATATAAATAATAAAATCTTTGAAATAGAAAAATATTTTGCTGATACAACTACCTTGAGTCATTTTAATACTAACCAGCAGACATTATGCATGATATGCGAGTGTTGTAAGACAATTAGATTGTATGCTCCTCTGGGGTGCAGATGGATGTGAATGGTGCATTATGCTCTGCAAAGTTTGTTGACACTATATACATAATATTCATACAATGATTCAATGAGTATGAAGGCATATCTAGAGAGATTCTACTGCGTACTGACACTCTGTTAAACATCTCCCGGCGACTTGGCTCTCTCTCTGTTATTGTAAACTGTGCCAAGGACTTCCTAACATTAATACATTTCACTTCTTCTGTACCCCCTTGTCTTTTCACAAAGACGAAGAAAACAACAGGTGTCATGTAGTTTGTCTTTCCAATATTAACCCTACCGGACATATAGCATAAGGTCTCACTGCTGTATAATAAACTCTACTGGACTGTAAATACTGTTTGCAGATATGTAAGTGCTACCTATTCTTCTAGCATCCACTACAGTCAGTCCATCCTGGAGGTTAATGTTTGATCAGCATGAACTTCAACAAATTTGGTCATACAAACATATTGGCAATTTAGAGAGATATCCAAAATTGTTGATCATGAAGAGAACAACTAAAAAAGGTAAATAAAGTCAACATGGATTCTTCTTTACACCTCTGGATATCCAAGTGGATGTAGTGATTGCTAACAGATTAGGTCTATGAGAAGCTAATTGGTGAGATAAGTGCACTTCGTGTTTAACCAGTTCAGGATTTTGCTTGTAAGAGAAATTACCTAAAAAAAAACTTTAAAAATACAGACACTGTGTAAAATGACACTTTCAGATAGTAGCTTTCACTGTCACTGAATAAATACAATGTATTTTTTCTATCTATCTATCTATCATACATACACATTTTTGCTTTTTGGGCCAGTTTACCTTTTGTAATAATTTAAAAAAAGGGACGTCTATTAACATTTACCACCACACCAAATAAAGGCCCAACTTGTCCTGTAAAAACAAGGTTTAATTCACCTGTGTACAGTAACTAGCTGCAATGATATGTGCAGTGTTACTAGCACATGCCTAAGTTGCAAAACTGTGTTCAGGCATTAGAATTTATTGACCACCATTACAGGGTTAAGTAATGACAGTTAATGCCAAATAAATAGTCCCACAGTGGAAATGTAAAAACATTTATAAAAAGGTATACAGGTACGAGAGCTGAAATTATTAAAGGGCTTTTCTGCCTTCAGCAAGAATGGGAGTATGGCAAACTATTGCAAAGGCATCTTGCCAGCCAACTTTAAAAGAGATTTAAAAAGCTGGTAAGGGATTCATCTACTGGTAGCCCATCCAACAATGACCGTTGTTTTAATGCATGTTTTTATGATTATGTCTACTTTTGCAGATCTTGTGCATTGAAATGCCATGCAGAAATTATGAATGCTTGGATTCCAATGAAAAGGAAAGGCACAAATGTATTTTAGTCCATAGGTACCTGGCATGACTGTCTTTTCACAACTGACACATTTGGAGGAGAATTCGCTGCAGTAACAATCATTGCACAGTAGTTCTTCATCTTGACACGTGAAAGGTTCATCTGCCAAAGAACGCTCACATCGGAAACAACGGAAACAGTTTTCATGATAATGACGATCCTCGTAGTAAAGTTCCTATAAATTAGGAGCAAAATATATAAACACAAAGCTAACACAACACCTATTGCATTTATTGTATACAACCACCCCTGATGTAACATATGAAGCTAGATTAAAAAGAAATATTGGAATTCATATTTATTCAATATATTTTGTTGAGCCTGACTAAATAAAGTATGAAAGAGGCACTCCGACTGAAGTTAAGTGTATAAATCTGCAAGCTTGTGACATCCCAATGCCCTAGGTTACAAAAAGTGTTAAACAGCTCAACTATGAAACCACTGGTATCAGATCTTGTTATCACCAAAAAACGGATTGCAAACCACTGCATTGATGGGAATGTAACTGAAAACAATTACATCACTTATGTGCATGCATTTTGTCAGCATTTGGAAAAGCAACAAAATGCATGATAATGCAGCTGGCGGCAACAAGCTCCTGAAGGAAGTGAAAACAGCTTCTAATGACAGAATAATGCATCTCTGATAAAGCCTGTCAATTTAAAAGGTCTCTTATTATATGTATAATACTCAAAACATATTTCAAAAGCATTTTTAACTTGTTCTTCACAACACCTTCCCTGGAATCTATTGTCATGCCTATAAAGAAATACTTGTGTTATCAATATTATTAAAAAGTAACAGAACTGTTTGGGAGCATTATAATGCAGTAATAAGACAGATATACTAAACTCTGAAGTCCTAGGTAATGAATCCAAAGCACTGAATTTCCTCTCATGATATCCACTCTGGCAGCAGTCTTGTTCAAATCAAAGGGAAATAATCACCTTATGGCACCAAGGTTACAAAAGACAAAGAGCCCTGGAGGGTACATAGGAGGTAGGGGGAAACTTGTGATCAGGACAGAGATCAGGACTGCTGATCATCTGAATCCTTCTATTTAACGCAACCCTTTCCTTTTCACAAAACAAACAAACTACTGCTTAAGATCAGTGAACAAAGATCAAATCCCCATTGCCTTTATCGTTTCTGTGAGTATCAATAGGGATTAAATTGTTTTACAGCAATCTATGTCCTCCAGTCTGTTTGAATTACGTTGACCAAATAAAGTGCATCTAAACACAGGGAAAAAAATATATAATTTACTAAAGCTCACCAGTCCTTAAATGTGGTGGATTATTATTATTATAATACAGAATTTATATAGCGCCAACAGTTTGTGCAGCGCTTTACATTACAAGGAAGACATTACAGGTACAATACAAATCAAGACAAAATGGTGCCTGTGAGAGCTTATGCTTAGTTACCTTCTGTTATGCTTTTTTTTGTTTATTAGTGGTCCAGCCACTAACAAACTTTCCGTCTTAAGGTGCCCATACACCTTACGATTATCGGACTAAACTTTTCGTCCTATGATCGAACCGTCGTACGATTTTCGTACGACGGCCCCATCCTGCCCCGATTATCGCAAGGTTCAATCAGCGGTAGTTAGAAAAAAACACCTGGACGACTTGCGGTAATTGACCGCAAATTATTTTCGTTTGCGCATGCGCAGTGTTAATCGTACGACTTTTGACGGACGGAAACGCCACCAACCATGCGAACATCGTACGATCAACCAAAGTTTTCAAACATGCTTGACCGTCAAAAGTCGTACGATTGTACAGTACTATCGGTCGGGCACTCTATTCACACGTTACGATTGTCGTACGAAAAAAGTCGATCGCATACGATTATCGTAAGGTGTATGGGCACCTTTAGGATGTCACTCGCCATACTGTATTTATGAAGGAGCAGTGCTGTCATCCTAGGACAGTAACTGTGTTAGAAGAACCCCCTCCTTACCTTCATGATAAGACCTCACTAACCTTCTTAACCCTGAAAGAGAATATACCAGATAAAGCTTAAGTTAAATTTATAACCCTGGCCTGTGAAATTGAAGTCACTAGCAGATATAAAGTGTAGACACATCTGCAGCAACTCATTTCCCTTTGGCAAATGCCAGGCCCATGGTCAAAAAATAAGAGTCGGGAGGTAGTCAAGGTCTGATGCAACTTGCAAGTGTGACCCAGCATTTGATTATAGCACAGGAAAAACGAAAGCAGCTGCAGATGGATATAGGAAGCTGAAATGCCTTTATATTATACTTGCTAGCAGAGTTTTGGGTGACAGAAATCCCTTTTAAAACCATCAAGTTCCGTAAAAGTGTGACAAGCACCATACACAAAACGCATTTGCAGTGCCATTACTAGTTAATGGCACCCCAAAGCGGCCAAGCAAATGAACTAGCACAAACTCATGAGGAAAAGTGCAGACCGCATGTCGCAAAATTTGTGACATATACCATTTTCCGGCGTTTGGTGTGCGTCCAGGGACCCAATGGGGATGCGCGTCAAGTAAGCGCCTCAAAACATGTTTGCATACTGAGCCTCATAAGGGGACCCTGCATGACGCTGAAATGTTGCTTCTTTGTGAAAACATTCAATAAAGGACGATCACTTGGCCATTACGTTTGGTGTGCTGCTGACCTTATGCATTAATCCGTGCCGTGCCTTTGGTTGTAAACATGCGAGGAAGCGTGTCACCACGACATGCATTTCCGCAACGCCTAGGTGTGAATGGGGACTAGGGCTTATGTCAATGTGGGCTTCTTGACTAATATTGTGTTTACTATTCAAACACAAATGCATGTGTTAAAGTGGCAAATGCACTGTTTGACCTGCTTTGCATGAATTTTAAACATACCTCAATAGGACAAAGAAATGCAGTGCAATGCAAAGCAGGTCAAATGCAGCCTCTATACTGCTCAATTGAAGTCAGTGGGATTTTGCTGATGCTGTGCACCTTAATGCACAGCATGAGAAAATGCAGGAAAACAACACCATTTGACATGAGCTCTTAGTCTGGTTTCTTTATGACCATCCATCCAAAACAGTATGCTTGGCTCTTGACAGATGTAGAGGTTTTAAAGTGCTTAAAAACTGTTTTGTTAAATTCTTTATATATCTTTGTTACTTACGATAATTCTTTAATTCTTCCTGATGCATAAAACGTATTCTCCCTTAAAAAACACAGATCATCTCACAAATAAAGGATCACTTAGAGAAAAAAAAGTATCTATTTGAAATGCTTACTCTTGAATCGTGGCCAATCAGCTCTTTACACTCATCGCACGTGTTGGCAAACAGGCTGTCATAACACGGTATGCAGTAAGGGCCCTCTTCCATCTGGATGTACTTTCGTCCATAGAGAGACTCCTTACAGCTATCACAGTCAAATGGATCACTCATGGTTTAAGTTGAATCTACAAGAAAAAAAAATAACCACATGTAAAAGAAGTACCATTAGGCTTTGACAAAGTTAGATAAAGACGTGTTACAGATACAATGTATGCAGTTGAGATCAATTATGTTTTCCAGCAAACTCAATGGCATAATAGCATAATCAGCCCAACAGACTACATTTAAGTTTCACAAGGGCAATTAAAACACAAAAGAAAGGTCATGCACTCTTAAAAAGGCCCCACTGTTACATCATTAAGACTACTTAAAGTAAATACATCGGCTTTTTCAACGCTTTAAAAATAAAAACATTCTGTCCAAAATCGGGCACCACAATTGGGTACACGATATTCCTACATTAACCTGAATACCCTATTCTGGGTTTCCCTGAAGTAATAGGTGCATTCTGTTACTTGGGGTTCAACTTCTCCAACTTCCAACTCCAGACAATTCCTGGAGTTTCTCTTTAAGCTTATGCAATTAAAAGCATGCCCGTTAGTATTTTCTAACTTTTAAAAGTAATAGTTCAGCTTAAGAGCAGGCATCACAAGATACGTGCCACTCAGAAAAGCCTCTTTTGTGTGTTCCTTTGATCCTTGTTTCGCTTTATTAGAAGAAGCTTGAATGTTATGACTCTGGAACTAAACTGAGCCATTCCTCTCTCAAAAAGGACAGCCTCATATGTCAATAAGATACAAGACCAGTCACCCTGCACAAACAGAGAGCAGCAGTGACCGGTCTTTATTACAGGAAGCTCCTGCGCAAAGACAAGGTTTCACTCTGGATTACTGTACAGAGGAAATAACAAAAAACACACCAAGTAACGATACAAGACTCTTGTATTAAGACAATATTTGCTAGTTTAGCTTTTAATATAATGTGTATGAATAAACATGATGATTGAACATATTTAAAAAAAAAATGATTAGTCAAGTGACCTTTCTCTAGAGAGACACAAACACCGTAACACCTTACTGTACAAACAATCCCCACTGCCAGCATTCAGGTACAGGTTTGATTAATTGCTGTTTAATCGCACTGGCGGCTATTTGCACAAAAGGCTAGGATACAAATTCTGCAGAAATCTATAAATGTACTGTACCAAAAAAAAAAAGAAAAAAAAATTCATCCTGGGTGCCACACTGCAAACTGTACAGTATGCGATAAAATATTAAAAGTGAAGTTGTCACTTCATGTGAGCTTCCAATGCCGACCTGTTCTGGAGGGTGTATGCGCTAGCAAAATTATTCATGCTCTAGCAAGATTATTCCAGAGCAAGCCTGCAGTCAATGAAGTGAACAGATAAAACACACAGTCCTATTTTGGCCAGTTATTTTTTTTTACCAACCTGCCAAAGTTTTTCCTTTTCTCTGACAACTTTTCCATGTCAGAAATGGAAAAGCAATGATTTTGTGGACCTTTCTATGAACCCCAAAGTGTTATTAATCTGCATGGACAAATCATTATGCTTTATATGAGAATCATGACTGTGTATGGAAAGGCAATGCCTTGCTCCTGGCACAACTGATGTCACTTATAACAAGAGAAAAAAACAGATCCGCAGAGGTAAAAGTTACTGTTTTCAAAGATGTGTTTGTATTTCAAATGATGGCAGGATTATCCAATTGAAGGAGCTGACATTTCGAGGAAGACATAGTTGAAAAATAGCTTTGTATACACCGACCTCTTCGCCAAACTATTTCAAGAAAAATATTAAAAAAAATATACCATTACGATATGTGATTATGTGTACATTTAAAAGAGAACTATAGCAAACCTTTTTTTGGCTAGTTATCTTTTGGGTCACAGGTGGACATTTACAATATTGTTGGGATCCACCCTGCTGCATTGATTGATAGCAGGGCCCTGCCTCTCTAGAGCCAAAGCCAGCTGTGCCCGCCCCCTCCCGTCTGTCCCTCCAATGGAATGCAGGAGGAACAGAGAGAAGGGGGAAATCCCTGCGGTGGAGTAGCGACTGACAGTGGCTGCTCTGTGCAGGGAGAAGACCGTGAGCTGAGTGATCAGCGGTTTGTGATCATTCAGTTCTCGAGCCATAGAGCCGGCGTGCGATACTGAAGCTGTCAAACTGTTGTACTTTTTACCATCCCAATAGTTCTCCTTAAATATATTTTATTTATTTTTTACCTGTAAAAGCCTCCCTTGTGTAGACATGCAAAAACCCTAAGACTGCTGTTGGCACTGCCATTTATGATGTGATGTCAGCAGACTCAGAGTGGTCACTCAATCGACACTCTATAATATTCCCCTTCACATTTCACATCCCTACATAACCTGCATGAAAGATTATGCAGATTATGTAGGGATCCATGATCCTACATGACCTGATCCAGCACAGACATAATTAGACACTGGGCGACCTGATCCAGCACAGACATAATTAGACACTTCCAGAAGAGGAGAGGGCTATGGCATGCAAGGAGGAGGGCTGTGCTAGAAATTTGACTTTTTAAACTTTCTAGAAAATTTGACAAGTACCCTGAAAGTCTAAAAAAATTATTTAGGAAATAAAAGACTGCAAATAGACAAATTAAAATAATTGATTTCTTTATGCATGGGGCAGCCATACTTGCAAGTTGGACTTACTACTTAGCAGAGCTGCCAAAGGTTGTGCCCTACTGTTTCTCTCTCTCTCGCTGCAAGTCTACCAGTCAGCATTAACCGAGAAACTTTGAGATAGGTCTATATAATGATGGTTGTGGCATTTTTGCACTGTCATCTCTGAGCCTGATGAAGAGGACCTTGTGCGGCCCCAAAAGCGCTTGTATTTCAGAGACAGCATGCATCAATAAATGAACATATTTTTATCTTGAGTCAATAAACAGGCACATTTTAAAAGTATGGAATTTTGGTTGTTGGGGATTTTGCAGCTTTGGACTTCAAGCTATACAATGCTCATGTGTGAATCATTGCGAATAGCAGAGATACCATTACATAGCAAAGTCAATTAAGAAATCCAGAAAGGAAACACAGCCTGCACAATGAGACAAATGTTAAAAGATTATTGAAAAAGTATAAACATTGCACAAAAAGCCCCACAAATGTCCTACTTCTAAAGAAGACTTTGAGGTAACAAACTCAATATCATCGATTAAGTTCATTGACCTCGCTGGTGGTCTGATTATGCAGTATTTTTGCATGCCAAAGCGGTACATTGTTTTAAAAAAATAATATAATAATAAAAAATAAATGGTCCAGTAAAATGGGAATTCTGGGGGCGGTGTGTGATCCGTACCACAGTCAATAGAGCACCAAGTTCGCACATCACTGAGCTCGGTGGAAGAATCGTCGCTGTTATCACTTTCAGTGTCTGATGACGTATTTCCCCACGAATCGCTATCGCTCAATTCTGCAAGTGATTCTAAATCACTATCGCTGTTTTCTAGCTGGTCCAAAACTGCTTTTGACCTAAAGGGATGCTTTTTGGATGCTATGGACATTCTCAAGTTTCCAGGCAGAAAGTACAGTAAAAGTGCAGGCAGGGCACTGGACAAAGCTCTAGTGACAAAACTGAAGTGAAATGATTTGATACAGTAATGTAAATCATAACAGATTACATTGTATTGTGTGTATTCTGTGTATATTGCATGTTTTCACTTTTGAATTTCCCGCCAGCTCCGCCCCCCGCTGTGATGCCGAAAACAAAACTGAAAGTCGGATGCCGGCATCGGCCGGCCGAATACAGCAGGGGACACCGCGGGCAGTTGAACTGTCAGTGCGTCAAAACAAAACACGTTCAATGTCTCACAGTTCTATTTCTTTTTAAAGCAGTCACAGCCTGAACAGAAAAGCCCATCTCCTACCAGCAGCTGCAGAGTGAGAACCTTGCTCTTTGTGGGGAAGCAGTGGTCTCTGTCCAGAGGTCCAAAAGAGGTCCTGTGCCGAGTCAGACCCAAAGCTATGTTCCCTGCCAATTGGAAAGCTTTGGCTCTGACTCAGCACTCAACAGATCACTGCTGTCATACAGAGAACAATGGTCCCACTCTACAGCATGCTGGCAGGGGACAGGCTTTTCTACTCACTCAATCTGTGCCTGCTTTAGAAAGAAAACAAACAAACTTGAGACTTTGAACACCTTGTTTCCCTGCACCTGGAATGTTTTTAGCAGATTTAAACTCAAAGTATTTGCAAGGTTTGGAGATGACCTAAAATGTATATTTTTTCAAATTTACTCCCGCTGACTGCATTTTCCCCCACGTACTTGAACAATTCAAAGAACAGATGTTATTTTTGTTTTTGCATTAGGTCAGTGATAACTCGGGGCATGGACTGCCTTTTGCTGTGCAAAGTAAAATAAATGGCCATGGTTAACACCCACCTGCTAACCACATTTTCCAACCTGCCCCCCTTATCATTATTCAGTATTTGTGAACCAGCAAACAGAGTACCACTCCACAAAGTAAATTTTTCTATCTCGCTAAGCAGTAAAATGAGTTTGCATGATATAAGTGTATGGGTGTATTTTTAGTTAGTGATGTTCATGGGTTGTAACTCTTTCTAACATTCCTGAGATAAATCCTGAAGGTGGAGAACAGCGACAGGAGATAGAAACAATTGTGACTTCAAAAGGAGTAGACTTTATACTGAGAAACGTACATATATAAATGTTGAAGCTTACAAGTAATAAAATAAAGCTTGCCATAGACAAGCCATGGCTGGCCCTGTCAGCACCAATTGGCTGAACAGAAGTCGATTTAAAAACTGAATCAGTCAGGGGGAAAACTTTGGACCGAACAGTTGCTGCATTGTTCAGGTATTGAGGCAGCTGCGGGTGTCACAGCTGTTTGGATACAATAGATGACAGTGAAGATTTCTCCATCCATGCAGGTTAATATTGTTATCTTGTTCAATAGGGTTACTGTGACTTTATAGATCACTAATAAATATGCAGTGTAAAAAAAAAAAAAAAAAAAAATATTGGTGACATTCCGGTGGATATCTAGACAAAAATAAACATGTTTTTTGAGTACAACGGTCTATACCCTTTTAGGGGGGTTCTGGCACCTG